TTTGCCTGATTTTGGTATTAGGGTGATGTTGGCTTCATAGAATGAGTTTGGGAGTATTCCCTCCTCTTCTGTTTTGTGGAAAACATTAAGGAGAATGGGTATTATGTCTTCTCTGTGTTTCTGATAAAATTCCGAGGTAAATCTGTCTGGCCCGGGGGTTTTGTTCTTGGGTAGGTTTTTGATTATCATTTCAATTTCTTTGCTCGTAATTGGTTTTTTTTTAACTTTTGTATTTCTTCCTTGGTCAGTCTTGGAAGGTTGTATTTTTCTAAGAAGTTGTCCATTTCTTCTAGGTTTTCCAGCTTGTTGGCATATAGGTTTTCATAGTAGTCTTTAATAATTCTTTGTATTTCTGTGGAGTCTGTCGTGATTTTTCCATTCTCATTTCTGATTATGTTGATTTGTGTTGATTCTCTTTTTCTCTTAATAAGTTGGGCTAGAGGCTTATCTATTTTGTTTATTTTCTCAAAGAACCAGCTCTTGGTTTCGTTGATTTTTGCTATTGTTTTATTCTTCTCAATTTTGTTTATTTCTTCTCTGATCTTTATTATGTCCCTCCTTCTGCTGACTTTAGGCCTCATTTGTTCTTCTTTTTCCAGTTTTAATAATTGTGATGTTAGACTATTCATTTGGGATTGTTCTTCCTTCTTCAAGTGTGCCTGGATTGCTATATACTTTCCTCTTAAGACTGCTTTCGCTGCATCCCACAGAAGTTGGGGCTTAGTGTTGTTGTTGTCATTTGTTTCTATATATTCCTTGATCTCTATTTTGATTTGTTCATTGATCCATTGATTATTTAGTAGCATGTTGTTAAGCCTCCATGTGTTTGTGAGCCTTTTTGTTTTCTTTGTAGAATTTATTTCTACTTTCATACCTTTGTGGTCTGAAAAATTGGTTGGTAGAATTTCAATATTGTGGAATTTACTGAGGCTCTTTTTGTGAGCTAGTATGTGGTCTATTCTGGAGAATGTTCCATGTGCACTTGAGAAGAATGTATATCCTGTTGCTTTTGGATGTAAAGTTCTATAGATGTCTATTAGGTCCATCTGTTCTAGTGTGTTGTTCAGTGCCTGTGTGTCTTTACTTATTTTCTGCCCGGTGGATCTATCCTTTGGGGTGAGTGGTGTGTTGAAGTCTCCTACAATGAATGCATTGCAGTCTATTTCCCTCTTTAGTTCTGTTAGTATTTGCTTCACATATGCTGGTGCTCCTGTATTGGGTGCATATATATTTAGAATGGTTATATCCTCTTGTTGGACTGAGCCCTTTATCATTATGTAGTGGCCTTCTTTATCTCTTGTTACTTTCTTTGTTTTGAAGTCTATTTTGTCTGATATTAGTACTGCAACCCCTGCTTTCTTCTCACTGTTGTTTGCCTGAAATATGTTTTTCCATCCCTTGACTTTTAGTCTATGCTTATCTTTGGGTTTAAGGTGAGTTTCTTGTAAGCAGCATATAGATGGGTCTTGCTTTTTTATCCATTCTATTACTCTGTGTCTTTTGATTGGTGCATTAAGTCCATTTACATTTAGGGTGACTATTGAGAGATATGTACTTATTGCCATTGCAGGCTTTAGATTCGTGGTTACCAAAGGTTCAAGGTTAGCTTCTTTAGTATCTTACTGCCTAACTTAGCTCGCTTATTGAGCTGTTATATACACTGTCTGGAGATTCTTTTCTTCTCTCCCTTCTTATTCCTCCTCCTCCATTCTTCATATGTTGTGTGTTTTGTTCTGTGCTCTTTTTAGGGGTGCTCCCATCTAGAGCAGTCCCTGTAGGATGCCCTGTAGAGGTGGTTTGTGGGAAGCAAATTCCCTCAGCTTTTGCTTGTCTGGGAATTTTTTAATCCCGCCATCATATTTAAATGATAGTCGTGCTGGATACAGTATCCTTGGTTCAAGGCCCTTCTGTTTCATTGCATTAAGTATATCATGCCATTCTCTTCTGGCCTGTAGGGTTTCTGTTGAGAAGTCTGATGTTAGCCTGATGGGTTTTCCTTTATAGGTGACCTTTTTCTCTCTAGCTGCCTTTAAAACTCTTTCCTTGTCCTTGATCTTTGCCATTTTAATTATTATGTGTCTTGCTGTTGTCCTCCTTGGTTCCTTTCTTTTGGGGGTTCTGTGTATTTCCATGGTCTGTTCGATTATTTCCTCCCCCAGTTTGGGGAAGTTTTCAGCAATTATTTCTTTAAAGACACTTTCTATCCCATTTCCTCTCTCTTCTTCTTCTGGTACCCCTATTATTTGGATATTGTTCCTTTTGGATTGGTCACACAGTTTTCTTAATATTGTTTCATTCCTGGAGATCCTTTTATCTTTCTCTATGTCAGCTTCTATGCATTTCTGTTTTCTGGTTTCTATTCCTTCTATGGCCTCTTGCATCTTATCCATTCTGCTTATAAATCTTTCCAGAGTTTGTTTCACTTCCGTAATCTCCTTACTGGCATCTGTGATCTCCCTCCGGACTTCATCCCATTACTCTTGCATTTTTCTCTCCATGTCCATCAGCATGTTTATGGTTTTTATTTTGAATTCTTTTTCAGGGAGACTGGTTAGGTTTCTCTCCTTCTCTTGTGTTGCCTCTGTGATCTTGGTTTGCCTGTAATTTTGCCTTTTCATGGTGATAGAAATAGTTTGCAGAGCTGGAACCAGTGACGGCTGGGTGAAGTTCCCTTCTTGTTGGTTTGTGGCCTTCCTCTCCTTGAAGAACATCGACCTCTAGTGGCTTGTGCTGCACAGCTGTGCACAGATAGGGCTTCTGCTTCCTGCCTGGCTGCTATGGACTTTATCTCTGCTGCTACTGTGGGCATGGCCTGGCTCATGCTGCTGCTTCAAAATTGTAGAGCCCCGTTGTAGGGGGAGCGGCCGGGAGGCTGTTTGTCTCAGTAATGAGCATCCATGCTCCCTTCTTCCCAGGGGATTAGAGTGCCCAGAGATCCCCAGATTCCCTACCTCTGGACTAAGTGTCCCACCCTGCCCTTTAAGACTTCCAGAAAGCACTCGCCAAAAAAAGAAAAGAAAAAAAATGGCTGCTCGTGTTTCTTTTTTCTCCAGCGCCAGCCTCAGGCACCCGCTCATCGGTTCTGCTGCCCTGTTTCCCTAGTATTGGGGTCCCTGTCCCTTTAAGTCTTCCAAACAGCACTTGCCAAAAAAAGAAAAAAAATGGCCGCTCGCTTTCGTTTGTTCTCCAGCACCAGCCTCCGTTACCCACTCACTGTTCTTGCTGGCTTGTTTCCCTAGTATCCAGCACCTCACGCATGCACTGTGTCTGTACTCTGGTGTGGATGGCTGGGGCTGGTTGTTCAGCCGTCCTGGGCTCCCTTTCCTTCTCCGCTCCGACTCCTCTCCTCCCTCCGGGAGTTGGGGAGAGAGGCGCTTGGGTCCCCCAGGTCTGGGCCTTGTATCTTACCTGCTTCGCGAGGCACTGGGTTCTCGCAGGTGTGGATGTGGTCTGGATGTTGTCCTGTGTCCTCTGGTCTCTATTCTAGGAAGAGTTGTCTTTGTTATATTTTCATAGATATATTTGGTTTTGGGAGGAGATTTCCGCTGCTCTACTCATGCTGCCATCTTGGCTCTTCCCCTCTTGCTTAGATAATTTTTAAAAATTTGTTTTTGATTTAAGTATAATTGATATATAATATGATATTAGTTTCAAATATACAACATAGTGATTCAACATTACACACATTATTAAATTCTCACCCAACTAGTGTAGTTATTATCTGTCAACACAGGAAGATGTTACAGAACCACTGGTTGTCTATATCCACGCTGCACTTTCATTCCCATGACTAATTTGTATTACGATAGTCGTTTTGCTGTTCTTAACATGTACAAAGGAGTCATACTCTCGGGTAGTGCACTGTGTTATCCTATTTAACCAGGAGTCTTAGTATTTCTGTGTCCCCTGATTCTCCTTCCTTGTGGCTCTATTTCTCACCTGATCTCAGACCAGGATGAAGAGATGGGTACCTCCTCAAGCTTTTCAAAATCTTCTAAGGACTCATATTGGTCAATGGCTTCTCTCCTCACACTATAGTCTTTAGAAATAATGATTCCATTTTTCTTCTTTGTAATTTGAATTGACAGGTGTTGCTTAGAAAGTTAAAATTTCTGGTCTAAAATTTTAAGGGACAAGCCTAATATAAATACCATAGTCACTATTTCCTAGAAGATATACCACTATATAAATTGGAGAAATAATTTATCTATAAAGAAAACATAGACAAATTTAGTTATAGATACTGAAACAAGAAAATAAAAGAAACATTACAAATTTAGGTAAAAGAATGTTTTCCAGTGTAGAAAAAAGCTATTCATACTCTGTGGAAATCCCTTTTAAAATAGTGCAGAGGCCAGAAAATGTACAATTATTTCTTTACCCTAATAATGGTGTATGGTTGAAGCGACAGAATAATTTGGGGGAAAAATCACTTTAGTTATATTTGTGCTTAGTCCTCATAATTCACTTCCCTTTGCTACAGCCAATGGGCTATTAACCTAGTCTCTGAATATATGAAGTACCCTGAATCCTGTTTTCCATGAACAACTAAAACTGTCTTATATACCATTCAAAATGAAATTTTAACAACTGAACATATGATCTTAAGAGCTTCTTATGAGGGGTTGATAATCAACAGAATTAATGACAGTGTTTGATTTCATGCAGCAAATTTCACAAAAGGTAGAACAACACTAAACTCTACTGGCTGCATTATAATCGAGCTGCTCTTATAATGAATGTGGGCCCTTAATTTATTGAAACTAATTTTGAACTCATGGTACCATACATACTGTCTACTGTAGAAATAATTTATAAACATTAATTGCAGGAAAGAGAAGAGCCATTTGCTTCAAAGAGCCCATCAGCAAGCTGTCCTTCCTGTTTTATCAGTAAGCAAAGCTGAGAGCAAATAACAGATGGGACTGTCCCTTGGTGGCGGCACAGAGCACTCATGAAATATAGCACAATCTTCTTCCAGTGTGTTATGTTTTTAACAGTGGAAGATCAGAAGCAGGCGAGGTGTGGGCTAGGATGAATGACTACCATCGCGGCCACTGATGAAGCATGCTGTTCTAGGAAGATTCCTGTAGCAGATTGGACTTTGCCGATTGATCTCAGTGGCTTGATAGAGTACCATTGCAGAATGCATCTGGAAGATTCTCTGTAAAAGTGACAAACCTCAGAAGACCAAGGTAAATCTGAGGCCTGATGTGTACTCTTAATGGGTGGTTAAATTCCAGCTCCTTTAAATAGTAATCAAAGATACCACAAAGCCAAAGATAAAGCTGCCCCAGGCACTGACATGTGGTACTTAGTTTCCATCTGCCACAATCACTTCATCCTCTTGCAATATTTTATTCTACTTATTGTAACTACAAGAAGGTATTTGTGCATTTTAGGTGTGTGGGTATGTGTCTGAAATCATCTGCATCTGTTGTTTGCATAATCAGATGGACAGCTGTCACTAGGGTTGGGAGGTTGGATTTAGTACCTACTTTTTTTACCTAATGGCCTATCAGCCTAACTTCAGTGACTACTACAAAACAACTTTTTAGGCAGTCAGATCAGAACCAGTCCTCATTTCCACCAGGGGATCATTTATGCATGCCTCTCTCACTATCACTTTTCATAGCAGCTTTTCTCAGTCTTCCACTCACCCTAGACTCCTAACTCTGCCTCATTCCTTCAATATTGAAAGCTGCTCTTCTCCTATTTAAGTAAAAAGGTTAAGGTTGTTTGAGAGAACTCCTGTTAAAAACAACTGTGACCCTTCCAACTGACAATATTCTTGTTTTCATTAATTCTCTCCTTTTCTCTGGTTTTAGGGAGGAATTTACCTTCTCCTTTATGAAGTTAATCCAAACATTCATGTTCTTAATTTTACCAAGGTCCATTCATTCTCCAATTAATCCCTTAGTTACTGAAATATTCAGCCCTTTTCCCTTAAATGCATCCTCTGACCTGTACTTACAAAAAGGAAAAGAAATAAAGCATTACTATCAAAAGTAACTGCCCTGTAAGCTGCTATTTCTTCTAGTCCTACAAAACTTGTTGAAAAATCAGTCTACAGTTCCTGTTTTCATTGCTCCTAATAGACTCTACTCCTTTCTTTATTGCAATCTTATTTTCTACTCCCCCATTCTTTGAAACTAGTCTATGGAAATGTGCAATTTCTATCAAGTGAGTAAAACTGATATGATTTTAGACACACTCATCTGAGTACTCTTTCTACTTGGGATAAATTCTCAAGGGATGAAGAGATCAGATGTTGTCTTTGTACTCTCAAAGAGGCTAGGGCAGAGAAATGTAATTTTGGCTTGGCAGTCAGAGGAGAATTCAGAGGGACAGCAGCAGAGCCTGGCACAGATGTGGTGGTGTGGCCACAGTCTGTGGTGCCCTAAACTAGACCTTCTCTCTGAGGTGTTTGCTGCTCACTATCGCCCTTGGGTCCTTTCTACTTTCCAAGCTTCTATTTCCAAGTTTCACATAATTCTGAGAGCTAACTAGGATCTTTACCAGGAGAACCTTTCATCTCTTAATTGAAACATATTTAGCTTGTTTTCCTTTGAGTTAAAAACCTCACAGATACAGGAAACAGTACTAAGGAATGGGTTTATGTAACGGAGCCTTAGGGAAAGTTGGGCTGGGGGTGAGAATGTGAACTGATTTTCAGATTGGGACTAAAGCGGTGGACCCCATCCATCTTTGGGGCAGGGCTCTGGCAGCCTGGGGCCTGCGGTGGTGGAAGAGCTAATTACACACAGCCTCGGGGCTCTGGAATGAAAGACTCCCTTGGAATCAAATGCCTATTCAAGGTAAGTCTTTGGGGGAACACTGTCATTAAATAGATAAAATAAAAGGCTACAGGGATACTAGGAATGTTTTAAGGCATTGAATAGCTGACAATGGTAAATGGTAAGTTTCTGTCCTTAAATTCTTGATTATGGCCAAGACAGAATCTCAGGAACTCTAACAAAGCTGAAAGAGTCTCTTTATTCTGTCAGCTTCTTTCAACTTCCATGTACTTGAAAATGAAACTCAGGGTTTGTTATAGTTGCTGAATTATAATATCAATTAACTTTAGAGCTTGCTGACCTTTTTATGTGAAAGTGAGAGCACTGATTAGAAAAATGTAGGATCCTAAGCCTCAGAATTGGACCATATGAGCTGGTTCTAAAGACTTGCAATTCCTTGAACTTCCAACCTTTCTTTCCCCGGATTGTTACAGTGGTGTGTTGGAGCAACTCTTTATGGCTCATGAAGGCTGATGTGTTTATCTCTTTCTGACTCTGTGTTCAGTGATGTCATGTTGGCAACTTGAAGTCAGCTATGGTGGAACTATTTTAAAGCTACAAATCGGGATTTTCCCTCCCCTCCTTGCTGGAAAGTGGGCTGTTAAACATTTCTCAGCACATTCCTGTCCTTGAGACGTCAGGGGTACTTCTTTCCTTGTTTGGTGGGGCCATCCCTTCTTGCTCAGAGATGGTACTCCTTTTTGTCAGGGGCTAACTTTGCAACGGACAGCAAATTCATGACTTGAAACTTTATTGGAAGAAAGCTTTTCCCTTCTAGGTTCTTTGGCTGGCCTAATAATTAAATTGACATAAGACAAGATTAACAGGAGGAAAACATATTTAATTAAATTTTGTATGTATGGAGGCTCATAAAAATATGAGACTCAAAAGTGACCAAAGCCAGCAGCTTTTATACCTTTTATAAAAAGAAACAAATCTGTGAAGGACTGACAAAACAAAGGGGTTTGGGCTTAGCGGAGCTCATTAGTGAAAAAATTGCAGCAAGGTTTGTTAATGCAGCCCTCTGCACCCTGGATTCCCCGTCTCTGATGATAAGGATGCCTTATCCTTATGGTTGAAGGTATCCTTCACATGGGAATTTATTTCCTGCTGTCAAGGGGACAGGAGGGTCAGAATGTACTACTAATGGTTGTTCTTAAGTAACTTTAATTTGAAATGTCAATATGCCAAGGTGGCATATTTTGGGGTGGCATATTCCGCTCCCTTCTAAAACCTACAATCCCATTATCTCCAAATCTCTCACTGCTGGATGCTGGCACATTGAAGGGAGTCATTTGCATTGCACATACTGGGTGGAGAAGTTTTTCCTTCTATTTTGTGGTGACAAAACTTGGGACCCTATGTAAGAAGGATAATGACTTCAGACTGAATCAATCTGAGTGGGCTATAGTGGGCCTGGGTCTTGGCTCATTTCATTATTATCTGGATTCAGTTGAGGTTTAGGATTGTGAAGTTGAGAGTCTAGCAATCCCTTAAATAACACAGAGAAGGGTAGCAGATACTCTGGGGTGAAATTACCACATACAAATAGCCTTCACCCTAATTTGCTCCCCCAGAGGGTCTACATCATTACTAAGGTCTTAAGAAATATGTTGGTGAGGGAAGTGGCAGTAGATTTGACAAGAGTCTATGTTACTGTTCTTTCTAGGCTAAGGCTGTGGGTGGCAGATGCCTCAGTTGAAATGGTTTCTCGGAAAAGAAATTATTGTAGGGCAGCAGAGGCCAAGTGCAATATTCAAAGGTAAAAGGCCCAGTTGTTGTGGGTACCAAGGCAGGCAGCAGAGCAAGTTCATTGGCCATAATGGTCTGCACTACAGAAATCTCTGTGAGTGGCTGGCTGATCACTGGGTTCCTTAACTGAAACAGGTGATACAGCCCATTAATCCTTCTTGATTTGTGTTATGGAAAACACTCCACCACTGGAAGCAGAGGTCTGACGCAGGCCACCATTGCAGCGAGTTGCTCATTCTTACCCAATTCTCAGACTGGAGTTAGTGCCATGGTCAAAAATTACTTGGTTATGGAGTCTGCAGTAACATCGCTTGTATGTGCAGTGAGGCTCTTCCTTAGCCTTCATGGAAGGGTCTATGGCCATTGACTATGTAGTGCAGATAAATAGCCCTTAATCTGGTCAGCCTGTTCTTTGTTCTGGGTTAATTCAGAATGGCTGGGAAATGCTGTCTCTTTGGAGAAAGAATGCTGAAGAACTATTGCTCTTTTATACCAATGGTCCAGCAAGCATTAAGAATAGCAACATAACAGTCTAAGGGTGATATGCTTTTTGGGGTCAGCATTCACATAAACATTTTCAGGTACCAAATGTTATTGTTTTGATTTTGTCACAAAAATAGACTGCTTGCATTTCACGTCATGCTGATACAAACATATCCTGGAATCGGGCTCCACAGACATTTCATGCCAGGTATTGTTTATATGAGAAAAGAATACAAAGAAGCTGTAAGATTCCATATAGCAAAAATACATATAATAAACAAGCCTTAAGAAAGGGAAATAACCTGAGTTTTGGGATATTGTTAAACAGTGATTCTGAACTACCTAATACCTGGAGACTGAGAATACCACTGTAGTCTAATAATCAAAGGGACAAATTGTACTTCAGGTTATAAATTGAGTTTTGATCTGAGTTCACTTCTAGGTGGTTCAGTTTTGTGGTTATTTTTCTGAGTATTGAACTGGAATAGGTCTCTCAAGCAATTGGCAGAATCCCCCACTGGGTCCGTGTACTATGAATTGGGCTATTACAATTGGAATACCAAGTTTCTGGAGTTGCCCCTACCTTCTAAAGTACAAAAATCTAAAGTAATACTGCATCCATAGGTGAATCAAGAAAATTAAAGAAACATCAAATGCATGAAAGATGATGATCCTTTTCACGTCTCTATTGAGGCCTATGTAGAAAATGCACAGGCTTGAAAGACAATTATTGAGTGTTTATAAATTGTACCCCATTTCCATTTAACAGATATTTATTCAGCACCAAGATTCATGCTCTGTGCTAGGTGTCAGAGATACACTTATGCACAAATATTGACATGGTATTTGCTTCTGTGACACAGATATTTTAGTGGGGAAGATAGGCATTGCCCAAGATAATAATATGAGCTTGAGTTACAGGGGAGCCCTGTATTGTCCTGGTGTTTTTGTGTACAAGGGTTTTTGGAGAAGAGGCAGGGAAGGTGAAGGAAGTTTTCAGCCAGTGACATTCAGATGAGCTCTGAGGCAGAGGTAGGTATTATTTAGTTAAAGGGAAGGGCCAACACACCACAGACAGCAGGAGAGACGAATGTGCTTGAGGAACTGAATGAAATACAGTGTGGAGTGGCTGAGTGTGAGAGGAAAGTGGTGAGAGGCGGTTGCAGTAGTAGACAGAGGCTACACTTGCAGGATCCATTCCTGTCTTGAGCAATGTAAAGTCAAGTGTGCATGGTCTTAATTAAGGAATATGTCACGATCAGATATTTAAAAGATTCCTCTGATCACAGATCAATCAGTTTGATCAGAGAGTGCCAAAGTTTGTTATTGATCTGTTGCAGCATTCCAAGTAAGAGTCTGTTGTATGGACATAGAATTAGGTATGAGATATGAAATACCTAGAAGGTGATATTAAAAGGATTGGTGATGGGCTACTGATGTATCGACTATACAGCATGTGGCAGTAGAAAATGTGAAGCAATATTCTCACATTTCTGGCTTGTGGAGCAGGAGACACATATGAAATATGAAATGTGAGCTGGCTGGAGTGAGTCTGATTCTTGACTCATTTGCTTCACTCTAATCTGAATTCAGTGGAATATGTATGGATCTCAATGATATATAAAATGAGAATAAATATATATATAAGTATATAAAATAAGAATAAAACTGGGGCAATTCTTGGGCCTGTAGAGATTGAGGAACTGATGTATTTACACTGAAGATGTAGAGTGAAAAATTAGAATGTGAGGGATGAGAACCGGTTTGGTGATGAAATAATAGATATGGGAGTCAGTGGTCCAAACATGGGATATGAGGCTAGAGATCTGGAAGATTGCGCAGCGAGGAGAGAGAAGCCTGGACCACGGGCTGAGGGACGCTGGCAGGCGAGGACAGCTCCCCCAGGAATGCAGTCAGCGCCGCATGTGCACTCAGCAAGAATTCACTGAAGGTTTACAGATTTAAAAAAGAAAAGAGTAGAAAAGAGCACCCTTTCAGGCCCTCTTGTTTTTTACTAGCTCACTCTAAAATAGTAAAAACAAGCCCAAAACATTTCAGGTGGGATTGTAATGTTTGGCTAGAGTTCTCTGATTCTGATAATGTCAGCTGTTTTGTATTTGATCTGGTAATCAAATAAAGTGTAAAATAATTCTCATTTGTAAAATGACTTTCCAAATATTCTCTACTTCACTCTCGTCCCCATTGCTCTTTGGGCGCCTTTTTCAGCACTTAGCAAACTCTGCTTTATATTTAAATTACTTATCTGGGTCTGTCCACCCTCACCCCTGGGAAATTTGGCAGAGGATGCCCACGTTTCATTTACCTTTTTGTTCACGGTGCTGGTGTGGTGTCTCCCTGATGGTGTTTTGTCTTTTATAAACATGTATTTATTTCATTTAAATACCTTTCATTCCCTGATGTAAAAATAAAAGTGAATAGTTCATATTGCTTTTGCCTGAAGACAAATAGGCAAGAATTAAACACAGACTCTCTTTTATTATTTGGCTTAAAAGTAAACATTGGGTACATTAATAAGGTCTTTGCACATTTCAGCAGACGAGCCCCTTTTTAATTTTCTTAATGATACTGCATTTCCAAAACTATGCCACTAGGGGGAAGCATAGTGCAAAGTTAGCGTTTAGTTCATCCTTTCGGTGCCGGGTACAAACTCCAAAAAGCTTTTCAGTCTGACTTGGGCTATGCCTTTAACGTGAGCAGAGCCCTTATCAGTCTGTTTTCCCTTTGTCAAATTCTTTCCTCTTCTTCTTTTTCCAGGGTTCTTTGTGGCTTAAAACTTTTATTTTGAAACTGCGAAAAGCTTAATAAACATGAAAACCAAGTCAAAGCTGGCACAATGCGCCCCCACCCCCGCTCCCCGCTTTTCTTTTTCTTTTTTTGCTCAACCACATGGACCTGTGAGGATAATTGTAGTTATTTACACTGACTAAAGGAGCAACATTGCCTTTTTTTTTTTTGTAGAAATACTGAAGCTATTAAATTAAACAGGTTAATATGGCTACAGCATTTTGCCCTCTAGTATCCCCACAGCTATAGTAAATCTGCCACCTGTTTATTTCCATAAAAATTCAATTACGGCGCCACCAGTTACACTTCTTACGCGAGCAATTAACTTCAGGTGGTTTCAGGCCCCAAAGAAAGGCCAGGCCAGACGGCTCCTTTTTTCCCTCTGCTCCCTTTAACTTCCAGTGGTTTGTTTTGCTGAATGACTGTGCACCAGTGGAAAATGAAGGAATAGACTAGACCGCTGTGCACTGTCAAGTCAGTGAAAAAAACAAAAACTGAAAAATCACAACCACCCCTTCTGTCCCGCCCCTCACCCTCCTCCATCCAAGCCCAGGAAGTGAGCAGCAAGCCGGCTGCCAGGGCTGCGGGGACACTCCAGCATTGCTGAAAAACACACCAAAATGAAGAAGAAATTGCTTTTAAAATTGTTCGCCTTCTTTCTTCTTTATCTCTGTAAAAAAATGTGTGCACGGAAAGGCTGGTAAAATGCTACAGCGTTCTGGCTGAAGCAAGGACACAACCACGAAGGGATAAAACATGCTCCCCTGGGCGGCTCCACCGCGTTGCCAGGGCCACAGGCGCTGTAGAGCGGGCGCTTCTTTTCCCCTTTAAGAGGAATGAGTCTTTATCACCATGTTGAAAATGCTGACTTTTATCTCTTTTTGTCATGTTTACTTCTGTCATATTTCTTTCCTTTCTCTTAAAAACCTATCAATACAAATAAAAATGACGGAATCTTACATCCAGTGATTCCTACATGATCTAATTGTTGAACAGGGATTGAGGTATTTATTACCTGTTAATCCCTTTAATGCCACATACACTGATTCTGTTTAAATAATATTTATAGTAAATGTATAAACATAGTTTTGGGAGCAAATTAGATGTAAATAAACATTAATAAGTCATACCTGCTTTCAGGATAAAAGCAATGCTTCTCTGTAAGTGGGTTGAGGACAACTACTGTAGTGATTATCAGAGAATGAGGCAACATCACTGTCTTGCCAATGGGTTTCAGCCCCAGGCAAGTTCACTATGGATTCAATGAGACCTGGGAACAATAATGGAATGTTCTTGGGGTGAAAGGGTTATACCCAACTTTATTTCCACGGTGGCAGGTTAATCTCTAAAATCCCATTTCACTCAGAGCGAGTCTGCATGCAGCAAGCCGGTCTCTGCCTCTGGGCCTCTACCTGCCCAGACGCCCTCTGGGTCTCTGTCGTCAGGGCTGCCACCACTCCAGCCTCTGCTCTGTTCTCCTGCATACATCCTTGCAACCATGCCACCGTGTCGCCCAGAGCACCGGGAAGGGTTCTTTATATAGAGTTAATAACAATGCATTGTCCACACGTGTGTAGTGAGCTATCTAACCAGGGCCAGGTGAGAATCCTGGCCACAGGAACCTTCATTTTATCCACAATCACAAAACAAATAAATAGGGAGTAAGTAGATGATAGAAGCTCCTCACCAGGGCAGGGGGCATGGAGGACTTAGGTAACTCCTCCAACTGTCTTATGTCCCAGTTGATCCCAGAACAATATTGGCTCGTATGTGATGCTGGGCAGTCATGGATGTCAGGTGCCAGCCATTTCCAAAATATTCCCAGGGGATCAAGCGACTATCTCTTTCCCTTGCTCCTGTGTCTGAAGGGGCTCTGTGCCAGCCAGTGTTAGTACTGCCGCTGGGGTAGAAGAAGGTAATGAAATGGACTTTGAAGTCAGCATGTCACAGGAAAAAGATACAGTCAAATTAAATTTAATCTTCTTTTAAATGGTTACTCAAAAGAGAGACTCTATTAGAAGTCCTCCCCAGGCAATCCATACCTTGGACTAACACTCGGCAGGTGGAGGAGAGGAGATTTTAGAGCTCATGTTTCATCTTGATAGGACTGATGGGACATTAATGAGAAAGACCACCCTTCTGTGGCCCTGAGACCACATCCTCTGCTGTCAAATGGGTTCAATTCACAGCCTTGAAAACCATCCTTTTCCTGTCTTCAAATGTTGTCATGAGTCCTTTTCTTTTTAGTTCAAAGCAGAAATTAAAATGGGTTTTAAGTGTTTATTCTTCATCCTAGGTTTTGGGCAGATGCCTAATTTCCACTGCTTCCTTACCTCCTGAAGAGTTTCAGCCTTTTTGCTTCTGCCAAAATGAAGCAAACATACAGCTTGGTACTTTGAAGTCTGAGTTAAAGCAAAACTAAATGGACCATGTTTATCTGATCAATTAAGGCATTGCCTACATCCTTAGAACTGATGTTTCTCATTTAGGCAGCATTCTATACAATCCTCAGGAAATTAACAACAGAGATTGAGTTTGGGGAATGGGGGTCATTATATAAAGAAATGCCTGGAGAGTGTGGAGGACCTTGGCTGGGCTCCAGTGTAAACTGCACACACTGACTGGGCTCCAACAGGACCTGAAGAATGTCTTTGTAGAAGTGGGAATGTAGAAGAAATATTAACAACAGCTCCCCAAAATAGAAGTTTGACTTAAAATTCCTATTATGTTAAGTGATCTGCAAGATTTAATAGTCTTTGGCATGACTGTTTATGATTACAAAAACTGTCTTTTTCTGAGATTAGCATGTGTACACTTAAGTTTAACCACAGTTCAGCAGGGCATGCTCTATAAACAGCACCATGCTAAGCAAAGTATTAGGTTTAGGTTAGATTTAATAAAAAGAGCATAAATTAAAACTCTCTTAGAAGCTTACAGATTTTGTTTCAAGACAAATTGATCAATACCAATTAACTAGAATGATATAAAATAGGAAGACTGAACCCACAGGCTGTGCCCATCAGCATCCTGTTCTGCTCTTCTTAGAAACAGTTTGAAAGAACATTTGATTTCCTTTCCAGCTAGCCTAGGACCTGGGTATGTGATCTTTTCCAGAAAGAGAGCTTGCTAGATTCCTGAAGTCCTTAGCTTTGAGTGAGTTACATCGTCCATTTGGCGCCAATGGATTTTACTTTAAGCTTCATAAAGATAATGACTCTGTTTTCTCATATTTGGCAGATTCTATGGAGATCTTCTTCCAAATTGCAAGATTTGTTTCCAGAACTGTGGCTTGGCAGGAAAATAAATGTACTATCTTCATGTGTAGGTTTGTTTTTTTTGATGGATTTTAATACTATAGATATAGAGACAACCTGGAATGTTATAAAATAGCTTTCCTTAACTGCCAAGTTTTGAGCCCTCATTCTTTTTATCTGTAAAGGGGAGGGAATGACAGAGGGAAAATTATTCAACTCTCTGAAAAAGTTTTCACCCCTGAAAAAGTTTTTACCTCTGATTTGGTTTTCTATATGATTTATTCTATGCATATATCCCTCCCACCAAGATAGAGGATTCCTGTTCATATTTTTAAACTTTTAATTTGATTATGTATTATATATTATTATATATTAAGTTATATATTATATTCATATATACCAGAAATAATTATTTGTGAAGACTTTTGTGGGTGTCCACGGAAGAAACAAAAAGCTGGTTTAGGGAAAAACTTCTAAGATGATACATTTCTTGACAGAGAGCTGTGTCAATTCAATGGAAATCTTATTTCTAAAAGTATTTACTCATGAATTTGTATTCATTAAATGGAAGCCTATGAGGAAAATTTGAGAAACAAATCACCTTATATTTAAGAATAGTTCACGTATATTTTAACCCAAGACAATCTAACTGATTACATCATAATGAATTCAATATTTACTTTGTTCCAGCCTTAGAGAAAATATCTTGGTATCTGACATGATTATAGGTCTTCTTCAGCCTCCCTATATCCTCATGTAGACTAGTGAGATGACAATTATGGAAAGAGAAAGAAGAAGGAAAGTGTTTATTTGACTATAGTCTATTTTTTAGAAGGTTCCAAACTGCCATGAGTCTTAAAAATGAAAATTATTTTTTTCCTATCAACAATAATTGATAAAATCTTATCTATTTCATGTTCGGAAAAATGCGGGTCAAAATTCCTGGTTTGACAAGCTGTGTGAAAAGGAGAAAAACACAACAGCAAAAAGAAAATCAGCAAGGCTAGTGAGAATCGCAAAAGGGCCTCCTTAAATTCTTATCCTATTTAACCTTTTGTATATTGTTTCCAAATGCTTAAAATATAATAGGCTCAGAGAGTAGTTACTGGGCTTGTCCTTTCAATGAGCTGTATTTAAGATTATAGTTGATTTTCTACCTCAATAATGATGGGAAAACTGTCTAAATTTTGTACAGTATAGATCCACTTTTGTTGGAACATTTCAACTGATTCATATAGTGCTGTTGACTAAAAAATTGTTGATTAACGCTAGAACTTGGATCTTCAGTTATTTGTTTACTGAAGATTTTAAAAAATAGAAACATGAGAACAGTATGATTTAAACCCTTCCTAAGTTCCTTTCTCTCCTGAGAAACAGAATATGTTATATCCCATATTCTGCAAATTTTTCATGCAAATTTTTCTGACTCTTAACTCTATTAAATTTTCAAGCACTGCACCTACACCTTGTGAGTTTCCTCTAACAAATTACAGGTATGAGTTTTCCCAGTATTATGTTGCATGAAGAGCAAGGAGCTTTAAGGCTACTGAGCCTATTCAAATATTGACCCTCATTACTGTTACTCTCCAGAGAACTTATAGTAAGAACATGTGAAGACCCTTTTTAGCTCAGACCTGGACTCCATGTGGATGGGGACATTTTTGTTGGTTATTGTCCCAAAAACTCAATATGAACTCCTGGTCAATGTCACTTCTACAAATTATCAGCCAGAACCATTAGAAAGTTGGTTGGGAGAAATGCTTTCAGGACAAATTAAATAACATTTTTGAGATGTCTGAATCGATTTCATTTTAAATTCTATTTCAAGACTTATTGAACTTTAACCTCACTGTCTTGCCAATGGGTTTCAGCCCTGGACAAGTTTGCTACAGATTCAATGTGACCAAAGAAATTGATAGCAAAACGTTCTTTGGGGTGAAAGGGTTTATTACCTGACTTGTTCTCTGGTGGTAGGTGGAGCACTAGAGTCTCTGCCTCTGCCCAGACCACTAGGCCAAGCTCTCTATATAGAGCAATAATAGCTTATTGCCTAAAGGTGGGGAAGCAGTAGCCTACCAACAGGCCAGTTACACCATCAGGTGGTTTAACTTCAGTGAGGATCCTGGCCATAGGAATCCCAACTTCCCCACACTCCACCCCTCCAGGATTCTCGCCTTACAATCTACATGCTTTCAATCTTCCACAAAGGTCCCTATGCAAGAAAGCTGGAGCACTGTAACCAGATTCCACAATAGCAATACAGGATAACAACAACTTAGAGATAATAACAAAAATTAAGATACAACAAGATTTTGATACAGGTAACAAAAATTATAATATTCCCCAAGCCAGAGGAGGTTCCTAATCCACAAACACTTAGGGGCAATAAGACACATATTTTAATGACACCAACATCGGCAAATCTTGTCCTTTAGATAGGATGCATGCAAGAGAGTGGTCCTGTGATGGCACTGTAGCAGGAAGGGAGTCCCTTCCAGGTCTAGTATACCATACTTTTACTTCTTTCCCCGTGTAGGTTACTGAAGGGTCTATATATAGTGCTACTAGAGGTGCATGCACTGGCTATAATGATAAAACAAAACCCCCTGGTAAGATGCTCCTACCCTCTGGCCGTTCAGGATATAACTACTGTGACATTTGGCTGCCACTCTGCTGTTATTCCAGGAATACATAAGAGGCCAGCATCCAGGCCTTGTCCCTAAGGTGCCAGGAGAGCCAGCCATTGTTGGTCCATGTGTCAAAAGGCCCAAGGCAACATCCACTCAATGGAGTCTCTGGGGTTCAGTGCAGTTGGTGCTACAGCAAGATATTCTTGTGGCCGAACCTTGGCTTCAATGATTCTTCCTTGGTTTGTACTTGCAGTTGTATAGGGGAGGCAACCGTATGTGTTAACGTGTCTACAAGGCTCAGGGCTCCCTTTCGGGCGCTCATTCAAATGCTTTAGCACAGTCCATAGGCAGACTGATCATCCCTGCATACTAGTGGTATCTTATTTTAGTCTGGATTTTAACATGCCACTGTGCCTCTCTATCATGCCTGCTGTGGTAGGAGTGTATGGCACATGAAACTTTCACTTGATTCCCAGCTGTCACACCCATTCTTGCAGTGTATGTACAGTAAAATGGATGCACTAATCACTCTCAATTACCTGTGGTCAGCCATGGGCAGCAAAGAGATGACCAGGCTTCTCATGGTTATCTGCTGTTTTGCACAATGGGTAGGAAAAGCAACCAGAAGTCCAGTAGCTGTGTCCTCAGAAGTCATAGCATACCAATATCCTTCTGACACAGGTAGAGGCCCAATATAGTCTATCTGCCACCTGACAAGGGTTATAGGCCCCTTAGCTATTTTCTCATGTTGCTGTGCCACTCGGTGTAAGTCCCTTTTGGAGCACACGACACACTCCACCAGGCTTTACTAACTTCTTCAAAGGTCAAAGTCAAGCCCCACTGATGGGCTACAGCCCGCATTGTCTTTTACCCTGCATGCAACAAATGCTGATGTAATCACTGGGCTACATCAGAGGCAAGCTTTCCTTCTAACCAATGTATCTGGGCCAATTTATCTACTTCATCATATCCTGGGGATACCAGTGGTGAATGACCTGTCACATGGTATACTGCAATTATTTTAGTCTGACCCCAGACCCATAAGTCTTGCCACAATTATGGCCCCCAAAGGGGTCAGTGACCAACCAGCCAGTAGGCATGGTACCAGGTTGGTAGCCACAGGGTCAGGCCCCGATAGACAGCCCAGCTGTCCGTGCAGACAACTATATCCATGCTGATCACAAGCCACACAGCCCACAACTCTGCCCATTGGCTGCACTTCCCCTCACCATTTTACATCCATATGGTCTCAGTCTTAGAATGGTAAGCTATGGCCCTCCTTTTTGGGGGCTTCCCATGGCTGGAGCCATCTGTGTACCTTGCCTCTTCCGTATTGGGGCTCTTCCCTGAATAGGGACTCTCTGCTACTAATGGTTCAAAAGCAAGTTCTTTCTGCTTTGCATAAGTGTATGTCACTGGCCCCAATGTGTGTTGGAGTTCTTCACACAAGGGGCCACTAGAGAGGGCACTATACTGCTGTAAGTAAGCACTACACTTAGCTAGTGTGGGCGTTTGTGCCATACCACTCCTTGACTTTTTGGTCCAGTCTCCTACCCACCCCAAGATGGGATAGGTGGTTATTAAATTTACTGGGGACATTTCAGTGATGGGTTCTGTAGCTAGCAAGGCATGATACATGGCAGCTAGTTGTTTCTCTATCAAAGTGTATTATACCTCTCCCCCTTTCCAGAGTTGTGACCAGTATCCAATAGGTTGCTGAGTTTGTTCAAGATGCTGCCAGAGACCACAGCCATAACTGTCTTCAGTGACATGAACATCCAGCTCACAGGGCCTTGATGGTCTATCACACTCAATGCCTGCATGGTCTTGACTGCCAATTTTGCTGTAGTAAAGGCAGATGCACATGTCTCATCCAAGTCACACCTGCAGCCCATTCATACCGACCAGTATAAGGGCTTCAGAATTTGTGTCAAGTGCAGGATAAACTCTCCAGTAGCCTAGAAGACCCAAGAACTCCGATAGCAATGCTACAGTTGTAGGGGCAGGAAAGGCCTGGAATTTATCTATAATTTCTTCTGGTATAACTTTAGTCAAACCCGAGTAGACCCCCAAGAATTTGACAGACAAACCAGGTCCCTGAACCTTGGTGCTGTTCACAGCCCATCCTTTCTCCCATAGATGTTGCAGCAGTCTAGGTGCTGCATCTTCTAGATCTGAAATAGAATTGGATGTGATCATGACATCATCAATATAATGGTGCAGCTGCACCCTTGGCGGTTTCTCCCATGTAAACAAGTCCTGGGCTACAAGTCCATGACAGATGATAGGGCTGTGGAGGTACACCTGTGGAAGGACAGTGAAAGTCCATTGCCATCCTTCCCACATGAAGGCAAAGTGTTCGTGACTTTCCTGCTCAATGTCAATGGAAAAGAAAGCATTAGCAAGATCTACCATATAATGGTATGT